CTTCTTTACATTCTCCCCACCTCCCTCTCTATTTCACGTTTAAAAAGAATTTTATATTCTTAAATCAGTTATTTGTCTTTCTTCCTCTCGCCTTTTCTTTTCATCTCTCTTGCTTTCCCTTCCTTCTCTTAATCTCGTATATCGTCCGGATGAATTGTCTCCATTTATTAAGAACTTTTGATCTGAAGAGATGAATATAGAAATATTCAAGAAATAAATTATAACCGAAATCGTTTTCTTCTTGATTTATTATATATATATATATATATATGTGTGTGTGTGTGTGTTTGGTAATAGAGAGAAAGAGAGATATTAATAGACAGCGTTCTGTTATTGTTACGCTCGTCTCATAAATCATTGTCATATTAAAATATGTTCTACGAGGTGTAATAGTTATCGTCATTGATAAATGAATCCATCCAGCTGCGTTCGAATTCCAGCGACAGGTTCACCTGGCAGGAATAACAATGGAATGAATCCGTATTTTTCTGTCCTCTCACTCATCACCAGGATAACATAGCTTGTCACTGTCATGGCTCATGGAAAAACAAAGAGGGCGGAAATGAGAATTTCAACAAACAATTCTCCAATAACTCTATTACCTACCAAACAAGTAGCACGAGTGTAGTTATAGGTATTTACTAACCTGCTTCTTCTTCTATGCACCGTTGTGAATATGGCTCTCCACAATTTTCTATCCTTTGTAGCTCTAAGCAATGTTTTTCCTCTTACTAACCCTACGAGTGCATCTTTTGCCATTTATTTATACACAAGCACGTTAAGCAGTTTCTCGCTCTTTCCCTCTGCCACACTTGACTTCAATATGTCTGCTATACCAGAAATGTCTGATTCTTTGCTTAAATATTTGTCTTTGATAACATGTGCATGATCTGCTATTTAATTGTTAATAGGTTAACTTTAGTCAAGCACTTATGTATTTTATAGGTATATACTCAACTTAATCTGGCACTAATTTGTTTATAGGTATTTATTAAACTTAGTCTGGAATTAATGTGTTTATTGATCACTTTAGCAATAATGTATTCATGATTTTTTTAATAAGTTTAGTCAGGAACTAATGTTTTTATAGGTAATTACCAAGATCAATTTGACAATAATGTATTTATGTTTTCTTTTTTTAATAAGTTGAGCCTGGCACTAATATTTTATTGGTATTTACTAAGCTTTGTCTGACAATAATGTATTTTTAGACATTTATTAAGCTTAGTCTCGGATATAAATACATGATTTAGTTTCTCAGTGAAGCTTCGGTTGATATTGACGACCGATTGCTACTCACTGTTAAATGTTAAATCACTCGAACAGCGAAGTAATATATGTAAGTATTTACGAAGCTTAATTTTGTCTGCTACAAGGCCATGAGTATTGGATAATTGTGCTGATTGAATTCACTATTTTTAACCAATGTTCTTAACGATCGACATCTTTGATTACAATTGTAACATCAGCTTCTACAAACATTTTCTTGTTAGAGAATCAACTTTTCTTACTAATTTACTCTTTTAATTTACTCTTTTAATTTATCTCAAATCTCTTTTGTGGCGTTCTTAAACCAGTTTTCCTGTCTAGTTCTTGCTCTTGCCAATGTATTTTTGATTTCTTTTACAATTGTTCTAAAATCTCTATTTAACATTTTCTCATTTTCCAACGTTGTGTTCACATTACCCAGCAGATTTACAATATCTTGGTTTTTTTTTTCATTTTACGTCTTTCTTATCATCCATATTAATCTTTTTTTATCCGAAATTAATAAGTATCAGTAACTGTAGTATTATATACATTTATTTACAATATGAGGAAAAGGCCTGAGGATATTATTACACCAAGGATATTATTACAAATATTTAGATAAGGGGAAATTCAAATGGTAAGTTTATCATATAAATATGAATATGTTCTAAACCAACACCGAGTGGTAAATAGAAAATTTGCAGATATAATAAAATTTGCGGTAGTGTATGCATCAATGTATGGCTTTATTTAGCTTTCTTTACTCTATAAGACTATCATACTCTATCATAACGCATTCTTATTCTTTTATTCACCTCTTTTTTTCGTGTCACTTTTTTCTATCTTCTATTTTATTTCTTCTTTTTCTCACCCGGCTCTTCGCCATGATTTTTTTCTGCTCTCCTTTCTCCATACTCTCCTTTTTCCATTATTTTAAAACTCTCTTTTCTCCATGTCATCCCTCCTCTCCATTCTTCATGATTTTTCTAGTCGCATTTTTCTATAGTTTTTCTACTTTCCTTTCTCTGATTTTACTACTTTACATTCACAATGGTTTTCCTACTCTTCACTCTCCATTATTTTCCTACTTTCATTTCTGCGTGATTTCCTACTCTCCTTTCTCCATCTTTTTTCCAACTTTCATTTAAGCAAGATCTTCCCACTTTCGTTTCTTTTTTCCTGTTCTTCTTTCTTCATTGTTTTCTTACCCTCCTTTCTTCATGATGTTCCTACATTCATTTCTCAATGATTTTACAATTTTCCATTCTCCATGGTTTTCCTGCACTTCTTTCTCCATGGTTTTCCTACTTTCTTTTCTCCACGATTTTACAATTTTTCTTTATTCATGATTTTCCTACTCTCCTTTCTCCATGGTTTTTTACTAATTTAATTTCTCCATGATTTGATTATTTTCCTTTCTCCATAGTTTCCCCTACTCCTCTTTTTCATATTGGTGATCCTCTTCTCCTTCTTTCTTTTCCCATCTCTTTCGTTCTCTTTTCACTTCTCTCTTTATTTTATATTTCGTTTTTAATTTCTGTCTCTTTTCCCTCTTCTCCAATTCTGTCTTTTCTCGTGTTTTTCTTTTTCTCTTTGCCCCCCCACTCTCTTTGCATCTTCTGTATCTTTATCTCTCTTTATACACACACGCACATACAGTCATATACACACACACACAAACGTGTATATATATATATATATATATATATATATATATATATATATATGTGTGTGTGTGTGTGTGTGTGTGTGTGTGTGTGTGTGTGTGTGTGTGTGTGTGTGTGTGTGTGTGATAACAAATAAAATTCAATTTTGACTTATCTGTTCCTACTTAAAGTTTAGTGGCAATGGCATCCACTCCTCAGGGGTAATAACATTCTATAATTAAGGTTCTGATGAGTGGAGGCAAGTTATGAAAAAACTCCTAGTAGAGATGGAAAATGAATATCTATTTTATTTTTATTTGTCACTGTTAATGCTCTGTCTCTTGACACTGAGTTTGCCTAAATCTTCCTCCCAAACCTGGTCGATCATATATATATATATATATATATATATATATATATATATATATATATATATAGAGAGAGAGAGAGAGAGAGAGAGAGAGAGAGATGCGGAAATGACTTTATGCGTTTCAGATTTTATAAAGTCTGTTCTTAAACCCAAGTCTCTTTTATAAAGTATTGAGAATTTTTCATTGAACACTAAACATATAAATGATTCGACAGATAAATAAAAAAAATCGAAATTTTCCACCTCGCATTTCAATCTTATTCTCTTTCGTTTTCAAAATATTTTCTGTGTATCAAACAATAGATCGATTCATGAATTTCTTTGCTTTCTTTTTTTTCTTCTTCCCTTGTTTCGCTGCAGCTGCAATGTACATCTTTTTTTATATATGTATATAGATACGGTAAATGTATGCAAATAAGCAGGTGGCCGTATATATATATATATATATATATATATATATATATATATATATATATATATATATATATATATATATATGTATATATATTGTGTATTTAAGCAGCAATCCTTCATTTATACATGTTTCATTTAAAACGACAGACAAGTTATTACGGTTAAGCTTTTTATTTAATTTTTCTTTTATTCAAACAATTGTTTTCTTTTTTGGACAAAGTGTGTGTAGAAACTGTCCAATATATTCTAGAGTTCCGAGCGCTTTCGGCTATACTATTAGCCATTATCAAGGATGATTTTATTTTTTCAGTTTAATTGAGTGTGTGCGTTATGTGTATGTTTTTAGTTTGTTATAGATGTGTTTTATTTTCCGAAAACGGTTAGCACATTGCGGCCGTGTTCGTAGTTAATATTGTTAAGAGTTGGCTTTTTCTTTTTTTCTTTTTTATTTCAATTTCTTCCATTATTTTTAATCTTTTTTACAGGTGGATGAGGTTATTAAGTTTGTGTTTTCTAATAGTTTCGAATGGAGTCTGGTAAGTTTGTGTGTGTGCTTAAATAGGTTCTAATAGAGCTATGGTCAGATAAGCGTAAGGCGTCTGGATATGCATGTAGTTGTGTAACTGATGTAATTATTTATGAGTACGGTTTGATCAGGAACACAATTCCTTAAGGAGCATTTGAACTCATAAATAATGTTACTCCGTTGTAATTTTGACTTTGATGGTGTGTTGTTATTTTTGAGGATACGGTTAGCAGTCTTAAATTTTTTATAGTAGATAATTAATTTGATTTTTTTTTTATTTGGATCAATTGGGATAGTGTATTTCTTTGTCCAAAAAGAAAGCCCTTTTCGAACACAAAAAAATTAAATAAAAATCTTAACCGTAGTACCTTGTCTGTTGTTTTAAATGAAACATGCATATATATATATATATATATATATATATATATATATATATATATATATATATATATATATATATATATATAGATGTAAATAAATAAATATAATCTTTAATAAATATATAAAACACGGGCATCTACTCAAATATGAGTATCCATTTAAAAAATAACGTTTAAACAGGTAAATTGAAAACTTGAGACAACAGAAATGTAGTTCTACCGGAGGATGCTGAGAATAATATGGGTTAAACATGTGAGCAACTACCATGTTTTAGATAAAATGGAAACAAAATGAACATTTATACGTAACATTAGAAAGAGATAGTTGAAATCTATTGGACACATCATGAAGAAGGAGGGTTTGGAAAATTTGACGCTCACATCACATATTGATGTCAAAACCTACCTAATGGGCCGATAAAACAGGGTTTAGAAGAGATAGCAAAAATCCAAACTTTATAAAGGATAGGAAATTGTAAAGATCCATGACCGTCTACGTTCGTAAGTGACATGGCACATAATAAAAAAGGATATGCAACATATCTTCAGGTCTTCACAAATAAAGTGCATATTTATGTTACATACGCTACCCGAAAATATGAAATGGAAACGCTTTCGTAGTTTTTTTTTTAAGATGGTCGGACTGGCTGTATAAATTTGTACGTTTCTGAAGGGTTATACTGTTTTCTGCAGAATATGGCTCTAGCCTTGGATTTGGCACAAAACGTTTTATAGTCATTTTTTGTTTTTCATTTTCGATTTACGACCACAGCCTATAACTAATTTTGCAATTTTTAATCTTTCTTTAGCCATTATTGTATTTTCATAGTTTTTTTTTATGGTTTCTTTACGATTTTTTTTATGGTTTCTTGACGATTTTTTTTTATGGTTTCTTTTATGATACCATTTGCATGATCCTATTACACATCCTTTTGTTTCTTATTTTTAAGTTCGTCACTGCATAGTATAGTTAGTTAATATTTGCTAAACATAACAAGCGCCCCAACCGAAAATTGTTTAGATGCAAAACCTACCAAAATACATGCAAATACAATACACGAAAATGGAGAACATTCACGCTTTCAGTCACGGAGCAGTGGTAGTCTTAAAGTCGAACAGTCGTACGTCGCATAGTTTGTAAGTCGACGACAACCTGGAATTTCCGGGGAACTCTAGGAGAAAACTATTTTTTTTCTATTTTACTTTCATTCTTTTCTTCTTTTTCATTTAGACAATGTCCTGCCAGAATCCATCTTGCGCACTTATAAATCTACCATTTGTCCGGGCACTGAATATTGCTTCTAAATCTGATTTGGTAATCCTTCTGTATATCTCAAGATTCTCGACAAATTCCAAAGAAAAATCAGCAGTGTTATCGGTCTTCACCTGGCATCTCGATTTCAGTCATTTTCCCGCCACCTTCATGTGGCTTCCCTCTGTCTTTTCTATAAATATTTTCTTGACAGTTGTTCTAATGAACTCGCCTCCTTGACCCCTCGACCGCATGAATTTAAACATACTGCTAGATTGGCAATTAGGTCTCATCGTTTTACTGTTGAACTAGCTTGATATAACTATCTGTTCTATTCTAATAGTTTCTCGCAGTTCTCGTTTGCGGAAATTTCTTCTGGCTTTTCACTTCCCTAGCACCTATGATTTTCAAAACTTTAAACATAACGTCAATCGCGATCTCCTATTTTACTGAATTATTGTCTTTAATCATTCTTTCTCTTCTCTAAAGTCTTCTCATTTTCTTTCACTCTCGGTAAACCTTTGCATTATTGCCTTGATTGGGGTGAGGTGATTAAAAAAAAATTACTTTTACTTCAAAGTATTACCTTTCAACCTGGAAACTTTTGGCTCCGTTAAAACTTGCAACATATTTTATTTTATGTTTAAAATATGCTGTATCGCCTTGTTCGGCACCAAATATGCATGTCTTATTTGTTATTATTTTTTGCACGCGATAAAAGTCCCGCGTACCATTCAAGGAAGGGGGTTACTGAATTAGGTTGTTTTATGGACGTAAGAATTTTAGATAATGGAGATATGTGGGATAGATAACGGTTGGTGCCAGACTTGAAGCATCATCTCGAGTGTTTGATCCACAAAGCAATGGCTATAGGGAAAAAAGCATTGCGAATGGAACATTGTAAAAAACAATGGAATATAAGGTATATATCAGGGCGGTTTATCACTGTGTGCATAGCATAGCGGGAGTTATTGTAAAGTTCTAAACTAGATAGATAGATAGATAGATAGATAGATAGATAGATAGATAGATGATGAACAACCTGAGATAGATAAATAGATAGACACACAGACCGGCAGATAGATATAAACAACCTGAGATAGATAGATAGATAGATAGATAGATAGATAGATAGATATAAACAACCCGAGATAGATAGATAGATAGATAGATAGATAGATAGATAGATAGATAGATAGATAGATGATATAGCTAGCTAGGAAAAGAGATATGAACAACCTGATATATATATATATATATATATATATATATATATATATATATATATATATATTGATAGATAGATAGATAGATAGACAGACAGACGGACAGACAGATAGATAGATATAAACAACCCGAGATAGATAGATAGATAGATAGATAGATAGATAGATAGATAGATAGATAGATAGATAGATACAGAGATATGAACAACCTGAGATAGATAGATAGATAGATAGGCAGAAAGAACCCAAGATAGATAGATAGATAGATCGACATAGCTAGATAGATAGAGAGATATGAACAACTTGAGATAGATAGATAGATAGAAAGACAGACAGACAGATATAAACAACCCAAGATAGATAGATAGATAGATAGATAGATAGATAGATAGATATGAACAGCCTGAAATAGATAGATAGATAGATAGATAGATA